GGTCGCCCCACCGAGGGGCCAGTCCTCGATGCATGGCCGCATTCGGCGCCAGGGGGCGCTCGGAAAATCAACAATGCGAGCTGCTGGACGCATCCCCTCTTAGCCACGCCCGCCTTTCGTCCAGCCTTCCTGTTCGCGGGCCCGCGAGGCAGCTGGCGCCCCCCTGGTTGCGGCCAGGGCATAGGAAACGCACCGGTTCGACAGAAAAGGGCACAGAAAGTGCGGGGGCGAGCGCCGACAGCAGATCTTGTTCATTTCAAACAGGAGTCGCCCTGGCTCACGTTCCCTGCTTCTGCCTCCTTTGCCTCCAGCCCCCCTCCTCTCCCCAGTCTGTGTTGTCTGTCGCCTTCTCGTTGGCGGCCGGGCGCCGGCGCTAATCACCGGCGCCGCCCCGTTGATGTTCAATCTGGCGGGCGCCACCCCGCAATTCGCCCGAGCAGGGGGAACATTGTTCCAACACTCGCCCCCCACGCATTTGTGAATCACAAGGTGACACTACCTGCAACAAGTAGCTCACACAAGATGGCCGGACTTGGTTTTACACCTCATTTGTTATTTAAGCTGTCCCTGCAGGCGTCGTCGCTGCTCGCCTGCTGACGTCTACGGGCAGCTGGTGGCAGGCCACCACGCACGCAGGCTGAGCGTCGCCCCCAGGCGGATAGAAGAAGTTTTGCTGGATGGCCAGTTGCGTGACCGCGCTTCCGTTGTAGAGACTGTGGCCAGCGCGTTCGGGATCACGCGCCCATCATCAGAAAGCTGATCCTGCGAGGGTCAGTCCCGAAGGTGTTGTTTATCATGTGTCCCTCAACTCCCCTCTTATATCCTCACTGGTTGTACCGTTCATTTCGGTTCGGTTCATATGTTCGAGCGTTGGGCACGTGACAGAATCACGCTAGCATGCGTGTGTTTCTATAAGGGCACAATTGTATGCAGGTGTCATAACCAGCCAATAGTTTTCAGTACACAATACGTCGATGATTTCCACCTTGCCCTGGCGTGGAAGAAGCAGGACCCTTCAATCCTGTCGCCCGTCAGAGACCCCCCGACGGCTTGTAGGGGGCCTCCAGGGGGACCGCCTCAGGCCGTGCAGGAGCGCGATCAGGAGCTTGCGGCGCACTCTTGGGGCTACTGGAGCACCTGAAGAGCTGTCGGGGGGGGCAGTCACGGGGCCTGGCGCGCTGAATTGCGTTGTTGCTTGGGACACCACGCGGCGCGTCACCACCCACCCCCGTTGTGTAGAGGGCGCGCTGGGCAGGAGGGAGCGCAGGACGGGTTGCGCAGATTCTGAGGACAGATCCTTGGCGCGGCTCCGGGCAGCCTTGGGCCTCCAGCGGGTTCCGCAGGTTTCGAGGAGCCTTCTGCGAGGCGCGGATGATGGAGCTCGCATTGGGGCTCAACCTTTGTGTAGCCTCCAGTGGCGTTCAAGGGCGGGGGGGAGGCAGTCAATTGAGGAAAGGTGCCCATCCATACCCCTACCCTTCGACTGTTTTCCACCTGTTCGGCCTCCCGGGAGGCCCTCGTCGCCACCGCTGGATTCGCCTCGAAATTCTAGCCAGAACGCACTGTGGGAGAGGTCTGGGGAGTAGCGGTATCGGTAATTTTTCATTTCCCCAGGCAATGGGGGGGGAATGGATAGAGGGAGTGGAAGAGGGTGGAGACGGTGACGGGGTGGGGCAGTTGAGTGCCGCGGGTTGGTTGGATCCCAGCGCGCGGGGGTGACGGAACGGGCGAGGAGGCGAAGAGGGAGGGTGGCAGGGAGTGTGGCGTGCAGGCAGGCCAGGCCATGCGGTGGCAAACCGATGGCCTGCGGCCCCGCTCAGGTGCCACGGATCAACGCGATGGACGAGGTCTCGAGCGTCGAGTAATGGGGGTGCGATAGAGGGGAGTGGGGTGAAAAAAGGTTTATTTATTTGTGCCCTAAAGAAGGCCCCCCTGGGGCCCAGAAGTGGCACGAAAGGTGTACGTTTCTCTGCATTTCTCCCCCACCCCGCCGAGAGTTTGGAGTCAACCCGCATAGTAAGGATCAGCAACCTTCCAAGGTTACCCTTGCATCCTCCCCCTTCGGCCCGTCCATGGCCGCTTTCGCTGGCCACGCCCCGCTCGTAAAGGGTAGGCATCGCCTCCAAAGGCCCTTGCATCCTTACCGCGCGTTGTTATCATTATCATTAGTATTGCATTGTACGTATGTATGTATTATCTTAAGAGCTTCGCCCTCTGCAGGCGAACCCCCTGATAATAGTGCGGGCAGCTGCGCGGGTAGCATCGCGGGTGCTTGCTCAGGCGGTTGGATTCAAAGGAGGACTAGAGTGGAGGCGGCGGGCGATGAGGGGGAGGGGGGGAGGGCATCTTGGGCGCTTGGGGCGATCTAGTTGCGCATCGGAGCCCTCATGGGCCATCTTGGACGCCTCCTGGAGCTTTCTTGGTCCGTTTCGGACCCGTCGTCGATCCGAAAGAGTCACGCGGCAAATCGCGACCGGCAGCGACGGGCAGCAGGAAGCCCCGGAGAATTTGGGGGTCTCCTTGGGGCCTCTTGGGTGGGACCTCCTGGGTGGGACCTCCTTGGGACCTTCTTGGGGCCTCCTGGGGCCTTCTCGGGGCGGAAAGGTCGAGTTTTCGATTCGTGGACTCCCTCTTGGGCCTCTCTTGGGACCATCTTAGGGCCCTTTTGGGCCGTCTGGAGCGCCTCCTGGACAGTCTTGGGGTCCTCTTCGGTCGTCTTGGGGCCATCTCGGAAGCCTTTTGGGCCGTCATGGGAGCTTCTAGGGACGTCGTGGGGCGATCTTGGGAACCTCTTGGTCCGTCTCGGAGCGTCGGAAAGCCGAAAAGGCGAGAAGGCCGAAAAACTTCAGACACGTTTAGAAAATAGTTGATTAGTGTTTCGTGGGGCCCTTTTGGGATGCTTCTCGGAGGCCTCTTGGGCCGTCTTGGGAGCATCATGGGCCGTCGTGGGGCCATCGTGTGACTTTATTGAGACCATCTTGGACCGTCTTGGGCTCCTCAGGCTCTATTCGCAGCTCCTCCGGGCAATCTTGGCGGCCTCTCGGGCTGTTCTGGCCGCGCGGTGGCGTCACAATGAGAATCTTGGGGTTCACCCGCCCCATTTGAGGTTCACCCCCCTCCATTGGCTGTTTGGTGGCGCGGCGCGGCCCCCCAGGAGGCAGGAAACAGGACTGAAAAGACAAAAGGCCAAACAGCAAATGACAACACATAACACATGACAGCAGACAGCACACACCTTCGCAGCCTTGCGCCCCCAGATTGGGCCGGCGGATTATTATGAGTCGTATGATTGATGTCACTAGTTATATGTCGTGGTATGACTATGGGTACGGTCAAGTAGCCACATATAGAATGCACATGGAGATTTTGAAGTGCACTCTAAATGGAGGTCGTATAGAGTGCACTTCGGAAAATGGGTGCAGGCTATATGCGGTTGTGCCGCGTTTAGCGTGCACGTCCGACGTGAGAGACAAACACGTTTAGCGTGCACGTCGGATACCTGTAAAAATATCATAATCATCATCATCATCATCATCATCATCAGCAGCAGCATCATCATCATCATCAGCAGCAGCATCAGCAGCATCATCATCATCATCATCAGCAGCAGCAGCATCGTCATCATCATCCTCTTCCTCCCCCTCCTCCTCCTCCTCCTCCCCCACCTCCTCCTTCTCCTCCTCCTCCTCCTGCTCCTCCTCCTCCTCCTCCTCCTCCTCCTAGGTTCGTAGTGGCAGCCGAAGTGATACCAAGGGCAAAGCGGGGATGTATAGGGAGAGAAGGCAGGGGACAGGGAGGGGAGAGAGGAGGAAGAGGAGAGGGATGAGGAGGAGGACGTCGGAGTAGGAGCAGGAGTAGGAGTAGGTTCAGAATGTCGGTCTGGCTCAGCAGTCCATGGAACCACACTCTGCCTTTCGGCCTCCGCAGGCCCGAGCCACTTCTGCCTCCTCCTCCTCCTCCTCCTCCTCCTCCTCCTCCTCCTCCTCATCCTCCTCCTGCTCCTCCTCCTCCTGGGCTGCTCATGGAGCCATCCCAAGCTGCCTTACAACTCTCTACCTCTGAACGCCACCTCTTGAAGCCCTGAGCCGTCCTGCCCCCTGCTGGAGCTGGGGCCCGTATAGCGTGCGCCTGGCCCCTCGCTTCTCCAGCCCCCCCGTGGGGTCGCGCTGGGCTTCCCGGAATATCCTCTTGGGCACTATTGGGCGTTTGGAGTACATTTTTGGCCCGTTTGGAGCAGCAAGCGGGGCCATGCTGGGCTGTCTTGGCTGCCTTTTGGGTCTTCTTGGGGCTCCCTGGGGCCGATCTGCGCCTCTCTGGAAGCCCTGCTGGGCTGACTTTGTGGTGCTCTGGGCTCTCGTGGACTGTTCTGAGCTGTTCCTGGAGCCATCCCAGGCTGCCTTGCAATTCTATGGGGCCCTCTAGACACCACCTCTTGAAGCCCCCTTGCTGGAGCTGGGGCCCGTATAGCGTGCACCTCCCCCCGCCCCTCCCCGCCCTCCCCCCCCCCGGGGGGTCGCGCTGCGCCTCTCTGTAAACCCTCTTGGAGAATATTGAGCGCCTTGAGGGCCATGTTGGCATGTTTGGGGCCGCAAGCGGGGCCATGTTGGGCTGTAATGGCGGCCTTTGGGGATCTTCTTGGGGCTCCCTTGGGTTGTCATGGGCCTCTTTGGGAGCCCTGCTGGGCTGACTTTGCGGTGCTCGGGGCTCTCGTGGGCCGTTCTGGGCTGTTTTGGAGCCAGTCCAGGCTGTCTTACAACTCTATGGGGTCCTCTGGACGTCACCTTGGAGCCCTAAGCCGTCCTGCCCCCCCCCCCCCCCCCTGCTGGAGACGGGGCCCACGTAGCGTGCTGCCCCCTTGCCCCTCCTGCCCCCACTGCCACCCTGGGGTCGCGCTGGGCCTCCCTTGAAAACCTTCTTGGGTAATCTTACGCGTTTTGGGTACAATTTCGGCCCGCTTTGGGCAGCGGGGCCGTGCTGGGCTGTCTTGACTGCGTTTTCAGCCTTCTTGGGGCTCCCGTGGGCCGTCCTGGACCGTTCTGGAAGCCCTGTTAGGCTGTTTTTGCGGTGCTCGGGGCTCTCGTGGGCCGTTCTGGGCTGCTCCTGGAGCTATCCCAGGCTGCCTTATAAGTTTATGACGCCCTCTAGACACCACATCTTGGAGCCCTGAGCCGTCCTGCCCCCTGCTGGAGCTGGGGCCCGTATAGCGTGCACTTGCCCCCCGCCCCTCCCTGCCCCCCCTCCGGGCCCACGTAGCGTGCACCTGCCCCCCCGCCCCTCCCGCCCCTCCTGCCCCTCCTGCCACCTTGGGGTCGCGCTGGGCCTCTCTGAAAACCCTCTTGGGTAATCTTCGGCGCTTTGGGGGCAAGTTCGGCCCGCTTTGTGCAGCAATCGGAGCCATGCTGCTTCTTGGGGCTCCCTTGGGTCGTCGTGGGCCTCTCTGGAAGCCCTGTTAGGCTGGTTTTGTGGTGCTTTGGGCTCTCGTGGCTCGTTCTGGGCTGCTCCTGGAGCCATCCCAGGCTGTCTTACCTCTTCATGGGGTCCTCTGGACTTCACCTTGGAGCCCTGAGCCGTCCTGCCCCCCCGCTGGAGACCCCTTGCTGGAGCCCCCCTGCTATCATCAATAGTGAGGACGATAGTAATGTCGCTCGGAGGAGGGGGGGTAGGGGACGGAGTGGAGAGGTGATCCGAATAGTAATCGCATAGCGTGCAGCGTGACGGTCCGTTTAGCGTGCCGCATTTGGCCAATGTAAAAACGTTTAGCGTGCAGGATCGCCTTGAAACATCGACAACGTATAGCGTGCACGCACGGTTTGATATGTTTCAATGTGGTTTTGACCAGGGGAGTCGGCGTATAGCGTGCACAGTAATCGAGGATGTTCTTGTCCTTCAGGGGGCGTCGTGCACGCTATCTGTGGTTGCTTGACCGTATGATTATATGATGACTATTAGTGTTATCCTGATTCGCGTGGTTATTCGTATTATTGTACGGTTTCTTTGTGTCATCCCCCCAACGCTCGAAGGTCTGGGTCCCGTCGGCCTGGGCGTTGGAGCAGTTCGCCTCGAGCGGCATCGACAAGGATAAGATCGTCGTCATGCCAGAGGCCGTCGACACCGAGCTGTTCGATCCCTCGCGGCACTCCCCACTCGAGCAGGGGGATGACGGCCAGGGGTTGTGCGAAGAGCCGTGCTCTCTACCGCCGGCCCCCCAGGCGGAGCCATCGCGGTGGCAAATCTCGGGACGACCGACATGGGCCCTCCTTTTCCTCCTCCTCCTCGCCCTCCTCCTGAACTCCTGGACCTGGACTCCTAGACTCCTCCTCCCTCTCCTCCTCTTCCCCCATTCTTATTATCCTCCTCCCCCTCCTCCTCTTCCTCCTCCTTCTCCTCCTTCTCCTCCTCTTCCTGCTAAAGAATGGGCACAAAGACCGACAGCAGCTACTGCCCGCTTTGAAGAGGATTCGCTGTCGGCGTCGCCGCGGACGTTGTCCAGTCGAGGCAGCAGGCCACCTGCCCAACGGGGGCCACGCTCGGTGTTGCACACTATTGGGTTGTTCGGCATCCTACCCGTTTTTGTCCGTACCCATTGGCCCATGCTGCCCCCGTGCAATTTTCGGGTTGTTGCCCGTACCCGTTGTTGTCCGTACCCGTTGTTGTCCGTACCCATGCCCCCAGGTTGCCCCCAGTGGTACCCCCCGAATGTTGCCCCGAGGTTGCTCCAAATGCCCCGACGTGGTGCCACTTTCGGGGGCCCGGCGAACAGAGAAAACAAGGCACGGCGGGTTCGTCCATGTGTGTGTTACCGCTTGTTTCGGGGAAGGTTACGCGCGAGCAGCCCGAGCAGGAGCCAGTATCAAGAGCAATGGGACTGGGCCAATCGTTGGGATTCCTGGCCTACAAGGCTCAACACCGAGAACTCGAGAGGACCTGAGGATACTCCACTCAGTGCCTACGGCAAGGTGGCGGGCACCCTCAGGCTATCTTATGGTTATGTGATGTTAGGCTATGAAGGAGGCCCCTGCGTAGGGGCATCTTGGGTCCTCCAGGGCCCACCACTGGGGCGATCGTAGCCAATATTGGGAAGGACTTACGGCTGGCGCCGCCGACCCTGAAGGGGGATGACGGCAACGACGACGCTGACGCTTCTGAGCCCTTCTTGGGGATCTCTAAGGCGCCCATTGGGCTCTGTTTGGGGGTCTCTTGCGGGACTTGTGGAGGAGCTCCGTGGCCACTTGGAGCCGCTTCGAAGCAGATTTGGGGGGCTCTTGGAGGCATGTGGTAAAGAAAATGCACAGCACCCCGCAACAGCTGATTAGAGTCAGGACGGTGACTCGGGGGGGGGGGGGGGGGCCGGATAGGGGGGGGGTCCCCCTCGTCCACAGCGGAGAGGCGGGGGGTGGGGTCTTGCGTTCCCCCTACCCACAAGGGGATCAATCCCCTTCATCCCCCGTGTCCAAGGGGAAACGCCACGGTTCATGTTGAACAATATTGGAGATGTGCGGCCTTTGAAATCCGCGTGAAAGCCATCTTCAGACATTTTGGGGGGAATATAAACGACTAGCAGGTGACACCGCTGCGGCAGAAGACCCTAAACAGCTTTATGCAGTTTACACTGGAGTCAACGATGGGCGGTGCGTGGGGCAGGATGGGGGGATCGGGATAGGGGTAGGGTCAGGGACAGGGAAGTGGGGCTAAGGATATAGGGAGTGGGATATGATAATCGGGATGCGCATGAGGATGGGGATAGGATTGCGGGCGTAGATGAAAGTACAGGGATAGAGGGATGGTGGGATCGGGACGCGGAAAAAAAGAGTGACCTTGGAGGGACGAGAGGCAGGAAGCGAAGGCAGAACACAGGAAGCACGACAGGGACCTCCACATTCCTGCGCCCCGATGGGGGCCCCGCCGGATTCCGATTCTTGTCTGTCTTCAAGTGGGAGAAACGGAAAGGTTGGGACCTCCTGCTGCGCGCGTATTTCGAGGAGTTCTCGGCCGAGGACCCCGTGGTGCTGCGCGTGAAGACGCAGGCGTTCCACACCGACGGCGACTTCGAGGCCAAGGTGCAGAGCTTCGTGGCGACGCTGGACGCGGCCCGAAGGCCGCTGGCGCGCCACACGCTGATCTCGGAGGACCTGCCCCTGCGGGACATGCCCAGGCTCTACCGCGGCGCGGACGCGGTCGTGCTGCCCACCCGCGGAGAGGGCTGGGGGCGCCCCCACGTGGAGGCCATGGCCATGGCCCTCCCCGTCATCGCCACCAACTGGAGCGGCCCCACCGCGTTCCTGTCCGACGCCTACTCCCTGCCCCTGCGCATCGACGGCCTCGTGGACGTGGAGGAGTCTCAGGAGGGGAAACAAACACACAGACACAATGAATCGGCGATTCCCCAGAGAATATGGGAAAAAATATGGGAGGTGGGGGGGAAGACAACAGCCCAGAAAATATGGGAAAATATGGGGGATCGTTCTATGTGTGGGTATTTACTTGTGCGTCCCAGTTCCCTTCCGAGGAGGGCCAGGGCCCGGCCGGCCACCGCTGGGCGCAGCCCTCCGTGGCGCACCTGCGCGGGCTGATGCGCTGGGCTGCCGAGCACCGCGCGGAGGCGGCGGCGCTCGGCGCCCGGGCGCGGGAGGCCATGCTTGAGACTTCCTCCTCCTCCTCCTCCTCCCTCCTCCTCCTCCTCCTCCTCCTCCTCCTCCTCCTCCTCCTCCTCCTCCTCCTCCTCCTCCTCCTCCTCCTCCTCCCCCTCCTCTCTCCTCCTCGCTGGCTAGCGCTCACCCGCCATTGCGGGTAGGGATCGACAATAGTTCGGTCATTCGAGGCCTCCGTAGGGGCCCCCGCTGGTGCTGCAGCCCTCGGAGGCCGCACGCCGACCTCTGGGGCAGGATCTGGGACCTGCTCCAGGACAGTTTCGGCCAGGAAGGCGACTTCCAGGCCGTCAAGGTGAAAGCCCACGCTCGTGGGCCCAAGGACGACTCCCACGAGAGCCGTCTCGATGTTCAAGGGAATCAATTGGCAGACAGCGAGGCCCGCCTTGGGGCCGACATGCAGGAGGTTCCCCCGTGGAAGGCCCAGACCTGGACCACCCGCTCGGCGGAGGTCCAGGCGGTGCTGACTCTGGTGGCGGGGGTGACGGGGCGGACTGCGGATTTCGGGGATTCCACGGGGAGGCCTGCCGCGGGCTCCCGCGGAGCCCGCCGACGGCGGCAGGGGCCGCCCGAGGGTGCTCGCGCCCACGTCCTCCTCTGGAGGAGGGGGGCGTGGCGGTGCGCGACGTGTGGCCGCAAGGCTTTCTCCAGCAAGGCCAGGCGCGCGTTGGCGCGCAGGCCCTGCCAGGGTAAGATGAGGGTGGATCGTCGTTGGGGAGTCGGGCTGGGGCGGGGGGACGGGGAAGGAGACATCTCTCCCGCCCTTCGCGGTGCGGCTCTTGGCCACGAGCTGCACCGCGTGGGCCAGTACACCTTCTGCGATCGGTGCGGTGTTTTCTCGAGCGAGAGGGGGTGCAAGCTCCTTGGTGCCTGCGGAGGGGCTCCAGCGAACCCCACCGCAGGGTACCGCCTCTCGCTCCTGCGCCGAGGCAGAAATCCTTACGCATTGAAGGTCTCCCTGGATGCGGTACCGCGCTCCCTGGTACAGGAGGAGTGCGCCGCCTTCTGGGAGTGCCTCATGGACTGAATCGGGATGGAGGCGGGAAGGCACCCCGTGGCGGAGTGCCCGCCTATCCCACTTAATCTTGTGGCGAGCTGGGGCGGGGACCGCCAGGCATCGTTCTTGCAGCAAAAAAACCTCTCTCCTCCTCGCTCCTCTCCTCGCTTCCCTTCCTCCTCCTCCTCCTCCTCCTCCTCCTCCTCCTCCTCGCTTCTCCTCCCCCTCCTCCTCCCCCTCCTGCTGGGAGGCCATGCGGGAGCGCTTCAGCCCCGGAGCCGTCGCGCGGGGGCACCTGCTGCCGCGGCTGCGGCGGCTGCGCGGGCTGCTTGCGGAGGAGGGCCGCAGCGAGCTCTGA